CATCACCTCTCTGTGAGGAGCAGAGAGCACTCGTGCTGCACATCCCACCTGTGTGCTGTGTTTACGTGAACCTGAGAGCACAGCTGTAGTGGTGACAGTGAATGTAGCGTTGGTGTTGGACACATTGACAGTGTTGTACTGTGAGAAGCTGAGGTCTTGTTGTGAGACACTGAGTGTTACAGTGGGAGCAGGTCGACCAGTGGCTGAACAGGAAACAACCCACTCTTCAGTAGAGTTTGACTCTCTGACATCAACAACAGGTTCATGCAGCTCTGTGAAGGATCAGGAGATATCATCAACATGTTCTTACAAACACACCAGCTGCAAACACATTTATATCAACTATGTTTGTTTGAGTTCAATTCAATTCAAATTAGGTCTAATTATTCAAGACCTTGCATGTGAGCTGTCAGGATATCAAGATTTTGAATTCAAATCTAGATTTAACAGGGATCTAATGTAGAAAAGTCAATATAGGAGAAATATGCTCTCTCTTTCTAGTCTCTGTCAGGACTCTTACTGCGGCATTTCGGATTTGAAGGCTTTTCAGGGAATTTTAGGACATCCTGATAATAATGAATTACAGTAATTCTGCCTAGAAGTACTAAAAGTATGAACTAGTTTTTCAGCGCCATTATGAGAGAGGACATGTCTAATTTTAGACATATTGTGCAAATGGAAGAAAGCAGTGTTACATATTTGTTTAATATGTGCAATGAAGGACATAGCCTGGTCAAAAATGACTCCAAGGTTCCTCACAGTGTTACTGGAGGCCAAGGGAATGCCATCCAGAGTAAGAATCTGGTTAGATACCATATTTCTAAGAAATTTTAGTGCCAAGTAAAGCACATTTTATCTGAATTTAGAAGCAGGAAGTTAGAGGGCACACAGGTCATTACTTACTTAAGACATCCCGGCAGTTTAACTAAGTGTCAACTGCATAACAGTGAAACTGCATGCCCTAAACCTGTTTCTGTACTGCGATGAGGGTACAGTACTCTTGAAATAAGCCATTCCTCTGCATATGATTAGTTAGCTGTTTTACAACTTCAGTTCTAATCTGTCATCAGAGTCACTTATTGTTGGAAAAGGAAGGTTTAAGTTCTCACCATAGAGTTGGAGGCAGGGTCTACCGATAAAGGCTCCTTCAGGATAAGTGTTAAACAGACAGCGATAGCATCTTTCATCCTGCTCCGTCAAATTCTTGATGACTATGGAGCAGTTCTGTAGTCCAGTGTGTTTAAACTCAAATTTATCTTTAAAGCCATCATTCACTCTCTGACCAAACTGCTTGCTGTACGTGGCAACATTTGTCTCCACATTATTTGAAGTTGTCTGCCATGTGACCTGAACGACATCTTTAGGCTCCAAGAGCTGACAGCTGACTTCAGCATCCTCTCCCACTGCTGCCAGCACAGTCTGCT